AATTACAGATGTTCGTGACTTAGGCTGTATGAGGAAGGCAGCAAGTGGCCAGGGCACATGTTGACACAAGAATTAAACATCTGTGCCGTGTTGCCTTGCACTGTTATTTATTATGAGGGTCAGGGATGGCAACTGGGCTGTGTTTTAGAGATCTCATTTTAGTTACAAATGCACTGCAAGCTCGTATCTTGAACGTGAAGTGTTTGAAATGCTTTGTTTCAGGTGCACAAGGGAGTGCACGGCATTGTCCAAGACAAGAGTGGCAGGGCAATTTCTAAAGCTGCCATTGTTCTGAATGAAGGCTTGAGGGTGTACACTAAAGAAGGTGGCTATTTCCACGTGCTCCTGGCTCCAGGTTTTCACAGCATTGATGCAACAGCCAGCGGGTACCAGCAGAAACATGTCAAAGTACGTGAATATCCATGTTGGAGGCGTTCCCCCATTCCCTGTCACATCAAATCTTCCCCGTTTGGGCTCTGCCTGGTTGTGCCTGTGTTTAGCTGCTGATTAGGTGAAATCAGGAGCTGTTTTCTGCCTTGACAGATGGAGAACAACTTTCCAGCACAGTGGGGTGGTTTTGGGAGTACCTTTTCTTTTCATGGCACTTTTCTTTGATCAGGGCAGGACCGGGCAGATGACAAATGTTTCTTTTGTCTGGATCCCTAAGCTCTGAGATGATCAAACCTCTCATGTCTTTCTGCAGGTCTTTGTACGCGATGATGCACCCAGCTCTGTGTTCATAGTATTTGACACTGAAAACAGGATTTTTGGACTGCCAAGAGAGCTGGTTATAACTGTGGCAGGTACGGTGATACTTTTTATCAAAGCTTTGAGCTGCGCTTTCTGTACCAGTTCGTGCTGACCCTCCACTGAACTGGGAAAGCAGCCTGCAGGCCTAAGCCATCTCCAGCTTTCCCTTCTGAACACACTCACGTCCTTGCAAACTCATCCAACAGCTCTTGGTTCTGCTTGGCAGGATGGAGGGAAGAAGTAGAGTGTTTTGCAGGGATTTGGAGGGTCCAAAATATACTTTGAGATATCTGGAATGGGGAGAGCTTGTGTGCATAGGAGATCTTGCTTCTTCAAGGCTTTTTTAGGGGTTGTGACATCAGGTAAGCATGAAGAGATTATTTTCTCAAGGTGGCAGCTGCTGGGGAGGGGTGCGTGGGAGTTTAGACCCAGTGGTCTGTAGTGGAGCTTGGTGATAATCTCCTAGATTTCAAGCACAGAAAATCGACTGTGTCCTGTTTTGGAAGCAGCTCTCCTGTCCTCCATGGCCTAGGAGGAGAGAGCAGGGTCACAAAGAAGTGAAGGAAGTGGTTGTGACTGCAGGAGGGGGAGGAGAGATGCTGGCAAGCCTGGGAGCCTCTGGCATGGGGGAACATGGCATTAACTTTGGTGTCCTCTCTCTGGCAGGGGCCAGCATGTCTGCCCTGGTGCTCACTGCCTGTATCATCTGGTGTGTGTGCTCCATCAAGTCCAACAGACACAAGGATGGCTTCCACCGCCTCCGGCAGCACCACGACGACTACGAGGACGAAATCCGCATGATGTCCACTGGCTCCAAGAAATCCCTCCTGAGCCACGAATTCCAGGATGAAACAGACACTGAGGAAGAAACACTGTACTCCAGCAAACACTGACACCTCCAGGGCAGGAAAGGAGGTTCCCATGGACCAGACTCGGTGGTGGGGGGCGATCCCTGTGGTTCAGTTTTGAAATGTTAGCTTCAGGATGTGTCCTCCAGAAGGGTGGGTGGCAGCTCCCAGCTCCCCTCTGTTTGCTCTGTTCCTGTGTACAGGCATTCAGTGGGTGTTGGAGGCTGTTTCTGAGATAGGGACGTGGTTTGTTACATTTTTGGGTCAAGATCTGGAGGTTTATATGATGTGGTTTGAAAGGCAGCTTTAACAGGGTGGCCAGCAGAGCTCTTAGCATTTCCCCAGCATCTCAGCACAGGGAGCAGATGGTGGGGAAGTGCCCCAAGACCTGCATGGGGTCATGGTCACAACACTCCAAAAAAGGTCTCTCTACCTGTTTTGATTTCATGTTTTCCACTACATGCTTGGGGGAAGCCAGATCCTTCATGTGACTCCACACTCTGCAGAGCAGCCCTCAGAAAAAGCCCAAAAAAAAAAAAAAAAAGCCTTTGATTCTCTGCTCTTTCCTTGGACCTTTTCCCACCATGGGTTGCTGTGACCTGCAGTGCTTGTGGAGCACCTCTAATGTGTCACTGCTTTCAGGGAGTGACTTGGCCTCCTGAAGGCTGGGGGAGATGACATGGCTCTTGATGTGAGCTGGAGAGAGTCAGAGCTTCAGTGAGCTCTGACAGAGCTCCACTGCCTGCCAGCTCTGCCATGCTGCTGTTCCTCACTTCTGGGGAGCAAAGAAGCTTTATCCCCATCACCCTGGTTGTGTTTTGCTTGTGTCATAGGCTTGGCTTTGGGGTCTCATGTTCATGTTCCAATAGCTCAGTGCCTGAAAGAGCAGCTGGAAGGTTGTTCTAAGCAAATTGATTCACTGATTTGTAGAAAACCTGATCAATTTTGCTCAAATCCACTACTGTTCAGGAAGAAACAGTGAAATCTGACCACTGCTTTATATTTGAGCATTTCTAGAGCAGCAGGGAGAGGTCATGGGACTATCCATGGCCCAACTTTGGTGCTAAATTCAGAAGAAAACCTGCACCATTTGCCACTGTCCACCTAGTACCATTTAATCACCAAGCTCTGGTGATGGCAGGCAGCAAATTTTCTGCTGGCTTGGCTCTGTTCTGCTCCTGCAGCATCCCTTGGGTGTGGAGCAGGACTTCCACCTGTGTGTGTGGCTGCAGCTGTGGTGCAGGGAGTGAGGAAGGGCTGGACTGTGCTGAGGGAGAAGGGAAAAGCAGCCAAATTTTGTTGTGTTGTGCTTGGCAGGAGGTTGGAAAGAAGAGCTGCAGCACACATCCCCAGGACATGTGGGATTTGTGGGGCATAGAAGGGATGTCCAGAAGGAAAGAATGGTTGAAATGTTTGATTTCCAAAGCCTTTATGTGTCTCTGATGTTCCTGTGCTTTCTGCAGAAGTAGAAGGCTGGGGTTAGAATAGGCACTACCTTTCTTGCTCATTTTCTTTTTTAATTCTTTCCCCATTGACCTGATTTCTGGGCTGCAGGAGCCTTAGGCTTCGAGTTTGCCCTCAGCTGCTCTGTCCTCCAGAGACCTCGGGATGTCCACTGGTGAAACCTGCACGTGGTGTCTGTGAGTGGAGGAGTTGCACCCAAAAATCTAATTGGGGTCTGCTCTGCAGGGCTCTGACCTAGTCTGCTCTGGGGGAACAGCCCCACTGAAGTCTCATGGGCCCTGTCACCTGGGGCAGAAGCTGTTCTTCACCCCTACCTGTGGAAATGCCCTTCCAGAACCACATGGCTGCACCTGTGCTGCCAAGGTCATCGTCTCACCTGGTTCTGTGCAGGGACAGAGAGCCCTCAGACACCTTCCCTGTTCCACAGGGAATTCCTTTGCAGGAAACACAAGGTGTGGCTGGGGAGGTGTGCTGAGAGCAGGGAGGTGATGCTGAGCACTCCCCGTGCTCCTGTCCCACATCTGCTGTGAAGGAACTGCTCTGGTTGCCTTGTGCAGGAGCCATGAACATCTCTGTGCCCATTCCCAGCTCATTGTGCTGAGCAAGAAATGGGATTTTGTCCCTTTTTGTCCCTTTTCCACGTGCAATGGGCTGCAGGACACCAGCACACAGTAGCATTAATCCTGCCTCATCTCTGAACTGTTCCTCCTTTAACAAGAGACACAGTAGGTTTTATTTAAAGTCGAGTTTGCAAATGGCTCTTAGGGCTGTGTTTGGGCTTTGTTTGCTCTGGCACCAGGTAATGGACAGAGCTGGCCCTGCTTTGTCCCTGTAGCAATAAGTCCTGTTAGGAACTGGCCCTTTCCCTCAGAATGCATTTCAGAATTAGCTGTGGGAGCAGGTGTGTATATTTAAGGTGAGTGGATTTGAAATATTTTGCAAACGTGTGAGACTTTTCTACGCAGCAGGACCAAGGGAGGTGCCTGGCTCTGGCTCCAGCTCCGTGCTTGGAGCTTGGCCAGCCCTGGGGCTGTTCCTGGGCACTCCGGGAAGGCAGGAGCGGCTCCCGTGCCCTCGCTCCGTCCGTCTGTCCGTCCATCGTGCCCCGGGCCGAGAGGAGCCGGTTCCCCGGGCGCTGTCGCTGTCGCTCCGTGCACTTGTGCCTTCAAATAAATGTACATTTTCCAAGGGACTTGAATCGCCGTTTGCTGGCAGCGGGAGGGGCGGGGGCGGCGCGGGGCTGGGCCTGGCTCTGCCCTCAGCCGCGCCGCCTGTTTTTTACCTTATACCGAGATCAATAATCTGTATAAAACTATTTTGATGTCCACGTGCGTTCTCCCGTTCTTCCTTACAACGGGGAGGGCGGGACTGAGAGAGCGGGGTCGGGATCGGGACTGGGATCAGGGCTGGAGGAGCGGGATTGGGATTGGGATGGGGAGTAGGGCTGGAGGAGCGGGATTGGGATGGGGATAGGGGTCGGGACTGGAGGAGGGAGATTTGGGATCGGGAGCAGGGCAGGAAGAGCGGGATTGGGATGGGGATCAGGGCTGGAGGAGCGGGATCGGGATCGGGACGGGGATCGGGGCTGGAGCAGCGGGATTGGGATGGGGATCGGGGCTGGAGGAGCGGGATTTGGGATGGGGATCGCGGTCGGGGCTGGAGGAGCGGATAGGGATAGGGATCGGGGTTGGGGCTGGAGGAGGAAGATTTGGGATGGGGATCGGGGTTGGGGCTGGGGGATCTGGATTTGGGATGGGGATCGGGGCTGGAGGAGCGGGATTTGGGACGGGGATCGGGGCTGGAGGAGCGGGACTGGCATCAGGATCGGGATCGGGCTCGGGACGGGGATCGGGGCTGGAGGAGCGGGACTGGCATCAGGATCGGGATCGAGTTCGGGACCGGGACCGGCAGCGGCGTTTCCCCGCCCGGCCGCTGCGGGGCGCTGCCGCGGGAGGCCCGCGCGGCCCGGCCCGCCCCGCTGCCCCCCCGGCCGCTCTGCCCCGCCCGGCCCGCGCTGACGTTGGACAACAAAGATGGCGGCGGGGAGCAGCAACTACTGGGAAGGCGAGTGGGGCGGGGGGCGGCGGGGCCGGGGCGGTGCGGGGCCCTCCGGGGCACGGCCCGGGCACGGCAGGGCGGGACCGCCGCCGGGACCCCTCTGCTCTCCCCCGGGAGGTGCCGGCCTGTCAGCCGTGAGGCACCGGTGCCTGCTGAATGAACCCCGCCGGACCTCCCGGGGCCGCGGGTGAGGGGCTGTGGGTGTCCCTCCCATCGGCGTGGGGGCTTCCCATGAAACGTAAATTGTGGGGAATTTAGAGATTTTAGTGGAGATAAGATTTTAGGTGGAGACAAGGCTTACTAGAGTTAATTGAAATAAATGAGTAGGCCTTGATGAAGTTAAGTTAGTAGTTAACTAATAATTGATTGTTTGTCAGCACAATGTTTAGTTAGCTGGGTTTATAATGAAGAATATAGAAAGTGACAAATAGCTTTTAGGAACATAAGACAATTGTGGGGCTCCTCTGTTCTGAAACCAACTGAAGACAAGGAATGGGAGTTCTACCGAGAGTTCATTTGTCATATTTGCATTGAAAAGGTAGAAAGGTCAGAACAAGGAAGACTTAATTTACTTCCTCATTTTGGGACCCATCTCCATGAAAGGGACCACCAACCCTTTCAAGGAACAAACCATGCATGCTGAATAGCTTTTGAAATTATCAGCATACGAAGTGAGGAATGGGATGTACCAAAATGATGAACATGTATTTGTATTTTGGGTATTCAATACTTGTATGGATAAAAGGACTCTGTAATCACCTGGAAGCTGCGGTGTGCATTTGGGAGCTATCCCACACACACTTTCTAACTTTAAACTTTTAGAGGGTGTTTGTCCATCACAGTTGGATATCGGTACTAGATCAATATCCAGATTTTTTTAATAAATCACCCCAGCCACAGGGGTCCCCTCTCCCCTGTGGGTGTCTTTTCCCGGCGGTGCGGGGTCCCCGTGCGGGTCCGTGACTGTCCCTGCCCCGGCAGATCTCAGGAAGCAGGCGAGGCAGCTGGAGAACGAGCTGGACCTGAAGCTGGTCTCCTTCAGCAAGCTCTGCACCAGCTACAGCAGCAGCCGAGACGGAAGGCGCGACAGGTATAGGTACTAGCCCGTTTCTTTATGTTTTAAACGCTGCCTGGGGTGCTTGGTGTGGTTTTATCTTTTGCTGAGTGCTGCTCCCACCTGTGGCTCTTTAGGTTTGGCTCCTTGGGAAGCTCTCAGTGCTTCTTGCTGCTGGTGTTGCTCCTGATGTGATGTCAGTGTGTGAGTCAGGCTGTGGGTGACAGGTCATTGGGGAAAGCTGGATTTAAACTTTGTTCTGTGTGGGATCAGTGAGCTTTTTAATGCTTGTTATGCTGGCTTCGTTCCGAGTTTTTCTTGTATTAAACTAACAGGAGGTTTTCAGGGACTTCAATATTAAGGGAATTTAGCTTTACACCTCCCAGGTGGGCTGGTGTGCTATTTGTGAGCTTTTCCTCCAGTTCCACAGCAGGAATTATCAACCTCTCTGTCCATTTACAGACTTTTCTTTGCTTATTAACTGTTCAGTTGTGCATGTTGCTGCTTTAGGTATGTGTGTTGATATTTTTCTATTTTATTTAATTTAATAACTGAATCCATTTTGTACCTCTCCCTCAGATGGCAGTTCTGGAAGCCTAAGAGCACATCAGCAATAATCATGTTACTCCTGAACAGCCCTAGTTTCACTTTTGTTTCTGCCTCTGTGCTGTTACTTGCCATGTAATCTAATTGTTTCCATTATTTTTGCTATCCTGTGCCAAGCTTACTTCTCTTACTCAAAGCAAATTACCAGAGCCGTGAGTAGTCTCTGAGGGGTGTTAGTTGCCACAGTTCTGCAGGCTGATCTGAGATGTGACTTTTCCTTGTGGTTTCAGTTTAGAAGCAAATAGGGAAGGTGTGTGAAACTAATTGTGATAAGTGGTGTGGCCTGTGTTGCTCTGTAGGACAGTGATTGCTTAATAGGTCACAGGGTTGTCCTAACAGTGTTACTAAGCTGTGATCATGTTGCTGGAGTAACACGCTGAGAGTGCAGTGCTCTCTCCTGCCAGTAAATAAATAAAACAACCTTAAAAGTTGGGGGGAGGAGGACACTGGTGTCACACAGGTGGGTAGTGTCAGGCATTTCTTCCCAGGAGAGGTGGTTTTTCCTGCAGGTGATACTGTGTCATCTGTTCAGATAAGAGTTAAAGGCATACAGAATAAGAAAATGTGATTTGTTCAGAGTTTATTTAATCTCTAGCAAAGCTGGGTATAGTGGAGCTTTCCAACCCCTGTCACTGGTGTTATTTCTGGCACTCATGAAATGATGCAACTTTTCAGTAACTGCTTCTCCTCTTCTCCTTAGCTCTGACACAACTCCTCTATTAAATGGATCAAGCCAGGACAGAATGTTTGAGACCATGGCTGTGGAGATCGAGCAACTTCTGGGAAAGGTAACTGGAGTTACTTTGGGTTTATTGCAGCATTTGGGCAGTATCCCAATCTGGATTTCTGTGGTGGATACTAGGAAATCCCAGTGCAGCTGTTAGACAAGGTGTGCCTGTCTAGCTGCCTCCTTCAACTCGTGCACTGTAGTTTTCTTGCAAGAAACAGCCATTTGACATTTTCTGGGGTGTTTTTCCCTCCTGCAGCTGACTGGGTTAAATGACAAGATGGCAGAGTACACCAACAGTGCGGGTGTGCCGTCGCTGAACGCGGCGCTGATGCACACGCTGCAGCGCCACAGGGACATCCTGCAGGTAACAAAGGGGCCTCCTCCCTGCCTTTGGGTTCTTTCTTTGGCTAAAATAATTATTATTATCTGTGCTGGTATCACAGCATGTTGGATTGTCTCACCAGGAGGTGTGAATGCCACTGATTCCATCTCGCTTTCCTTCTCTCCAGACACCCGCTGAACTCTGAGTTGAAGAAAATTGTGCTTTTTGTGTCATTGTTGAGTAGAACTTAGCTGAGAAAGAACAATAAAGGGTGCTGCCTTATGTGGGTGGGTTTTATATAGCAGAAGGGGAAATGTAGTGAATTGCCTTGTCTGTGTGGTTTGTCACGTAACAATGTGCAAGGGAGCATCACACGTAAGAAAACATGATTGTAAAAGCTCCTAATGTTCTCAAGGGAGATGAAGGAAATGTGATGGTTAAAGCTACCAGTCAGTGCTATAAATTAACCATGTTTTCATGCTATAGTCCTGTTAAAATGCATGTTTTATTTGGCTGGTTGTGTACAGTTTGATTTCTGTTTGGTATCTGTGCAATCCATACTCAGTGTGAAAAGCAGTAGCAACCATTGTATGAATGGTTACAATGGCTTTGATGCACACCAGCTGCCAGTTAAATTGTGTTTTGAGAAGTACCACCTGCCTGAAATGGTTTAAAATGTAAAATTGCATCTTAAAAATAGCAGTCATCTTTATTGTTCAGAAAAGACTTTTTTTATTAATCTGGTGTAACAACAGAATAAACTCAAGAACGTCTTCACCATACCAAAGAAGTAGGTTTTATGAGGGCTTCTGATGGGAAGTTTCAACACAAACCAATTCATCAGAAAGGTGAGGATATCTGAAACTGGGAGAAGGAATTGCAGTGGATTTCCCTCCACAGCTGTAGCTGCAGCCATCAAATTTAGCAGCTACTCTAAGAGCAATGAGTTTTAAGAATACTTTGGATTAACTTCCGAATTTTTGCTGTTAAATTCCTGAGTTAGTCTTGCACTTTGTACGAGAGAACAGTTTTAAAGGTGGCTGGATCTCCTGTGGGGGTATTGTGTTGCTCTGTTGACCTCAGGACCCTAATTTTGGGATAACTGTTTATTATTACAGGATTACACACACGAATTCCACAAAACCAAAGCAAACTTCTTGGCAATACGAGAAAGGGAGAATCTGCTGGGATCAGTACGGAAAGACATCGAGTAAGTTGTGTTTGCTACAGCGAAGGTGTGGAACTGTCCTCAGAGTGTGAAGGTGCAGAGAATGCTTGGCTTAGCTCACATGTCTGTGCTCTGAATAAAGCAAAAGAAGTTCCTTGAATCCACAGTTCTCACTGAGGTTCTGCTCTGTTGGGTTTTAGGTCGTACAAAAGCGGCTCTGGCGTGAACAACAGAAGAACAGAGCTGTTCCTGAAGGAGCACGAGCACCTTCGGAAGTAGGTGTTGTTTCCTCTTTGCTTGTGTTGGAGCTGCCTGACTTTCCTGGGGGGTGAAATATCTGAATGTCATGCAGCTGGTTAAATGGCTTGTGCTGAGTGTGAGCTGTGTGGGGCAGGTAATAGTCATGGTAGTGTCAGTGACTGGGGCTTTAGGATCTTGGCAGTGACAGTTTTGTGTTGTTTTCAGGGGCTTTTGCAAATCACTTGTGACTCAGACCTCCTCCTCCCAAGGGAGTGGATTTCTTTCACTCTAACTGGGGTAAAGCTTAAGAAACTAAACTAAGAAACTCCCATGATCTGGCTGGGTTTCCCTCTCCTTTTGTCAGTCAGACAGAGAAAAACCTTTTCTCCTTTTCCTCTACTGAATGTGTACAAAAGGTGATGGAAGAGATTAATTCCTAAATTACCTATGCACTTGAATATTTGCAAATTAATTCTAGGTTAGCAGATAACAAGCCAAATAGAAAGCACTTTGTTGTTTTTCCTGTTGCAGAGAGGGCATTAAGTTCTGAGTAGCTGCTTTGTGTGTCCTTTCTCATCAAAAACAGCACAGGTGGGAGCAAAGAACTGGAGGATTTGTGGATTTTAGAGAGTCAGGAGATAGCTCTGGTCTTCCTGCCTCTTTCCTTGCCTGTAGTTGTGCTAAATCTCAGGCTCACACGAGAGGGCAGGCTTGCATTTAAAACAAACAAATAAATAAATAATTTGATGTGGCTTTCTTATGATGAAGCTTATAGCCAAAACAGCACAAAAGACTTCTACAGGAAATTAAATAATTTTTTTTTTCAGTTGTGGCTTATCCTCAGTTTTCTGTAACATATTTCAAACTTAATTGATTGAAAGCTTGAATTAGGACTTCTATTAAGCATGATCTTGAAATAGAATGGTTAAATATTTCTGGAGTAGTAAAATAGTCTTCTAAGAAACTGGTATTACCCTGAGTCCATTACTTTGAAAAGTTTGCAAAAATTAAGAGCAGAAAACTTACTGCATTTTGGAAACATTTTCGGGCTGGTGTCTTCAGAATTTGAGCCTAACATTTATTGAAGCATTGATTATTTGGTTTTTTAAATATGCTAAATTCTGCAGTATGTTTACAGGATTAAAATGCATGAAAAATAAAGTTAAGGCAGTTTTAGAAATAGTTTAAAACCATCTGGGTGATTATTTGAAAATGTTAAGACTTGAAAAAAACCCACCACAACACTGAGGAAAAGAAAACCAGAAATAAGTGTGAGTTGGGGATCTTTAGTAAACAGGGCCAAAACTAGTCATGGGATACTCTGCAAGGTGGAGATAACTGGAAGGACTGTGACGAAATCCAGTGTAAAAGAAGAAGACAACACTGGCAAGAAATCAAAGCTTGCAAAACTTTTGAATTGAGAATCAGTAAGCTCAGAAAAAGATACTGGCAGAGGAAATTATTGGAGAGTTTCAACATATTTGTCTTTAGAGAAAGCAGTTAATGAGCTATTCATGCCAAAAAGCTGCAAAAGCTAAGAAAAGGTCCCAAGAAATCACCAGGAGCTGGCAAATTACACCAAACATGCTCCTAGGATAAATTGACAAGCTTTATGTGAGTCATGATGCTGAATATTTGTAGTGCAGTAAATCCTGGTGCCAGACTAATTGACAGAAGCAGATGATAAATATATTTACATGAAGACACAGGAGTAAAAATCCAAATGTTTTCAATGGAGTGAAATCTATGAAAAGAGCTTGAAAAACACACACAGGAATATAAACTTTGTAATGTATATATTCTCCAAAGCAGTGTAATAATGCCACAGGAATCACATATTCATGTCAGATATTGGAGCATTTACTTGGTCTTGACCCTGCCTAATTTATTATATTAAGTACTTTGACCTATTACATATTTATTGCATGATCTGATAACAGAATGTGTGAACTGCTGTCCCACTGCTGAGTGCCAGACTCTTCTGTCAGCCTTTTCCTTCATGCACAACCATGTGAGACAGGATAAATTCTAAACATTTATTAGCAGGTAATAACATGGTTATAAAGATCTTTTAGGGACACTGTGATCTCGTTCTCAAAATGTTTTTAAAAATCTCAAGATGACAAAAAACTTGTCAGATTTCTTTTCAAAAAATACCTGCAACAATTAAAACCTCTCCAGACATCTTAGGCTGGACCTGAGGCAGCAGCATGAATCTGAAGTGGATGTTAGCACAAACTGGGGTTTGCTCTGGGCTGGGTTTCCCATGAATCCTGTGCTGCACCCCACACCAGGGAGGGTGAGACAAAACACATTATATTCCTTTCCTCTCAAAAGCTTCATTGCTGCTCAGTCCATTTTATAAAGCAGCTCTTTGTTGGGAAAGGAGATTTGTCTAGAAGTTCTGCTGGCTGTGGATAAGAGGCATGAAGTTCCCAAGTCTCTGTTTCCTGTCTAAGTTCTAGACAGATAATTCAAGAATAGCTTTACTAACCACTGGAGAGATGAGCGATAGCACCTATTTTTTTTAATAAAAAAATTAACCCTGTTAATTAAAATAAAGTTGGCAGACAGATGTTGTTGAGTATTGATGCCCTCTTAATATTTTTACCTGATACCTCAGATTTCTTGGCATGTCACATGCTTAAAGAAATACCCAATCTAGCGTGGTTGTGTTTGCTGGCCATTTCTGAAATCTTGTTTTCTTGTGTCTCTGCCATTCCATAAATGCTTTTGTGCTTTTGGCCGGAGGTACAAACAAGTCATCCTTTTTCTTCTATTGCTGTTTTCCATCTAAAGAAAACAATTTTGATGAATAGATCTAGCTTAGCATTTTAAAAACTGCTCTGAAAAGTGCTGCCTCAGAGGAAACAATTCTGTTAACTTAGAGTCTGCCCTGAGAAATTCTGCAGTTATTGATGAGTTATAGTCTAAGTCAGCAAAAAAGGAACTAATGTGTTTGATTAAATTTGCAATATTGTGTGTGTGTGTGCAAGTGAAAATTTCCCTTGTGTTGTAGGTGAGTGATACCAGGGGGTACTGATGAGTTTGTGTAAAAATTGATGAATTCTTCAGAAGTTTAGATTGGAATTACACATGTTATTACCTATGGTGAATTCCTTGTAAAACGAGGTGAAAACACACCAATCCTGTCATTGTGGGGCAACTGTGTGATTATTATTTTATTACTCAGCTCCAGCACTCCAAAATTAGTCATTTTTCCCTTTCTAAAAGAAGTGGCTGGTGGTGAAGCAGGTGCCTGTGTGGTGCAGGTATCATTAGCTGTGTTTTTAATTGTTGTCTGGTGACTGCATGTTTCTGCTGAGTGTTGCTATGCAGCCTGTGACTCTATCCAGTAAATTTTTTTATAAATCCTCCTAGTTGGAGTCTGGTGTGTGAGTGGTGCAGGTAGATGAGATGAACCTGCTGCAAGTGTTCAGACACCCCTGTGTGTCTTAAAACGTTCAAAACTGGCACAGAGAGGGCCAGGCTGCTAGACTAAGTGGGTAAGGAACTTTTTTTGAAGGAGAAAAAAGAGGAGAGCAAATCAGAGGGAAGTGTGGTGCATGGGAAAGAGAAAAGAGGAATAAACTAAATGAGCAAAAGAAATAACAGGAACCTGCAGCAGTTGTGTAATGGTGCTAATTAATAATACATACCTGAGATGATGAGGAGAAATTAATGTTTGTGCAGTGCTTCATGTATGTGGAGTGCTCTGGAGTAGTAAACACTTTTATTGCTCTCATTATGGCATTTTGTTATCAGCAGAACTATTTCAAATTTCCTGCTGTTGTTTGGGCAGAAAAGGGTACACTGAGTAGAGAATAATCACCAGGAAAACTGCTTCAAAACTTTGTTGGTGGTACAGGCAAGATCGTAATGGAGGGAGTGACTTACTGGCTGTTTTTCCTCTAATTATTTTCTTTCCTGACAAATTTTCACTTCAGCACTGATCTGTAGAGAGAAATCAACTCAACAAAATGCAGAGACACCTTGCAGGGTTTTTGATTACAGGTGATGTGATCTTTTAGGAGAAAGCTGCCAGTTTTCTACCTGAATAGAATTTCTTTTTCTTTTGTTGTCCCTGTTCTCTGTTCTGCATGCCCTGGTTTCCATTCACTGTGCAGTTGCTGCTCGGGTTCCTGTGGATTTCAGTGGAACTTCAGGGTTGGATTAAGACCAGAGAGCTGAGGTTGCCTCCCTTCCCATCTCCTCACCAATTTCCAGTTGCAGAGGACACACAGTTGCCTGGGCAGGGACTGTTCCAGCTGACACACAATTCACCACTGCATCTCCTTCATCTTCTCTTGGGAACAGAGAATGCAGGAAAACCAGCTAATTCACCAAGTCCTTTTTCCATCCCAAGGTGGCTGGGGGAGCAGCAGGGAGGGAGGAAAGTGATGAGCCCTTCCCTGGGTGCCTGCTGCCTGCCTGCTCTGCAGCCTCAGAACTGCTGAGCTCCACTTTACTCAGGCCCAGTAAGGGCTTTTTTTTTTTTTTTTTTTTTTAATTACCAAACTTGCCTCTTAATTAAACTGTTTTTTTTTGTTCATGTCAGAGCAGAATGCAGTGTTCTTGTGGTTCCATTCTCTTAATTTGAATGCAGATTTTAACTGAAGCAGCACTTGGGAATGAATAATCTTTGCTCTGCAGCAGTTATGAGAAAATCCCAAGCAGCTGTGGCCTGGGAGGACAGAGGAGCTCTGCATGGCCCTGCTCTGGGGGTTTGGATCTGGTGCTGTTTGGTGCAGCTCTGCTGGAGAAGGGCTGCAGCACTTTGCCCATTGAACTGGAAGTTACAGTGCAAGGAGGGATTGAGGAATCTAGGTTAAAACATCTCTCTGCTGGCCATTAATTGCAAGAGCTCTGGCAATGGTGTGCTGCTGTTTTCCCAAACACTGTTGGCTTGTTTTCTTTGTTTCTGGAATAAGGAAGTTTGGGAAATTGCTGCATTAGAAGTGTGTGCCAGTGCTGGATGGCTGTGGTAATCACCTCACTGCCTTAGCAGTGAATAACTCGGACTTTTGGGGCAGGG